TGTGTGTGTGTGTGTGTGTGTGTGTGTGTGTGTGTGTGTGTGTGTGGTGTGGAGGGTAATTCCGGCTATCTCTGGCCTCCGCTCGGTTTTAAAGTCGCTTGGCCGGTTCCCAAGTCGCAAGCGCGCGCTGGCTGGGAGACGCGGCGCTGGGTGGCAGCTCGGTGCTGGGGAGGCGGATCTTTCTCTCTTAAGCGGGGAGGGGAGGAGGGGACAAGAGGAGGGACGGGACGGGACAGGGGGCGGGAGGAGGTCCCTCGCCTTCTTCCACCGCCCACCGGACCCTTTTCTTCCCAAGGGGACCCTGGAAAGCAGCTCGGGAGCCAGGTGGCCCTGCCCAGCGGGGTCCCATCAGGAACTTCTCGAGGACTCCCCCCCCCCGCCCCAAGCACAGCCCTCCCGGTCTTTCAAAGAGGGAGGGAAAAGCGGGAGGAGCAAATTGCCGCCCCCTGCCCCGCTGCCCAGAAGGAGGGGCGCCACAGTCCACCCCCACCACCTTCTCCCTCCCACTCCCTGGGCCATTACGTGGCTCGGGGCTGGCTGGGCGAAGCGGCCCCGCCAGAGACCCTCCCGCTCCACCCCCACCCCACCTCCAGATTGGCCTCCGCAAGCACCCCGAGCCGGGCGGAGGGTGGGGGGGTGGGTGGGGGGAGGAGGAGGAAGAGAGACTCCGGCTGGGCTTGAAGGGGCTTCGCAAGTTGCGGAGCTCCGCCCCCGCGCTCTTGGACCGAGTGACAACAACGTATTTACCGGTGTATAAGACGACCCCCCCACTTGGAGGCATGTTTTTCAGGGCAAAAAAGTCATCTTATACGCCGGCAAATACGGTATATAAAACAAATGTAGATTCATGAAGCAAAATTAGGCGTTTATGCACTGTCCTCATAGGGAGAGAAGTCAGCAATAGTGTATTATGCTAGTAATGTTCATTTTATACATTTGACAGAGTTTATTTCTTGTACACAAAAAATGGTCATAACAAATAGAAAGATAATATTTTGCCACCTCCTTCTTCCTGCTCCGGAAGAACAATTGAATACAAAAGATGCCTTCCTTTTCTCTTTGTGAATCAAATGTGCAACTGTGTACTATCAACCTAAACAACAATACTTTTAATAGGATGCCATATCTGGATGAAATACAGGCAAACTGCCTTAGCAACTGGAAGATGCCTCTAAATTCCTAAATCCAAACGAGCTTTCCCAGCTGCTCCAGATTATTTGGATTAAACTAGCAGTAGTTCACAGCATCTCATGGGAACTCAGCTTTAATAGAGAATACTAGGTTGATGAACAATGAGTGTGATTCACAGATCATAGATGTCTACAATTATGCAAAAAAAAAAATTCATCTACAAAGAAAGATACATGGCACTGTTTTCTGCTGCAGATGGAGAACAGTGTGCCTGTTGGGACTATTTCAGTGAGGAGGAATTATTCAGAAGACACACTTTTTCCCCCAAACCACTTCTCACTCATTCCTTCAATGTTGAAACTGCAAGGGCCATTTGCATCTCAATTTAAAGCTGGGGCAAGCAATTTTCTTCCACTGTGGATCACACATATAAAACGGGGGACGGGACCTTGGGACTGTAGAAATATGATTGTTGGTGTAACGACATCACCAAAGGGGGAACAGCCAAATGTTCAGTCTGGATTTATTTGGGGGAGGGTTTACAAGTTCTAGTGCAAAACAGCTGTTTGATTTCCTCTAGTCAAGAACTGATTCATGTGGTAACTCATTTCACTGTCTGATAGTTCAGGGGTCTCCAATCTTGGCAACTTTAAGCCTGGAGGACTTCAACTCCCAGAATTCCCCAGCCAGCTTTGAAGTCCTCCAGGCATAAAGTTGCCAAGGTTGGAGAGCCCTGTGATAGTTCATACAATACAGTTTACAAGTTCCTCACAATGTCCATCTTGAACTTAACTTCTTTGTAGCTTTAACTATGTAGCATCTACTTTTGCTACATTTGGTTGAATAACATTGTGTTTATATAAAATATGATTAAAAAATCACATAGCCTTATTGTTTGTTTGCCATAAATGTGCTCATCCAATATTATTTGGGGCATATTGTTTTCCAGTGACCAAATGATCTAAATGTTCCTTATGCATGCAATCATCTTTTTAGATCACTCAGCAGTAACAATTACAGTGAACAATGAACAGTAGCAATTACTGCTATGGTATATAAGAGAGAATGGCTATGGCCAGAGGCACATAGAGATGAAGATAAGGAAAGCAAATACCACAAGTGATAAGGAAGAGCAGGGTGGCCTTAATTACAACCAACAGTATTCTACAACTTTAGCTGGAAAAGTGCTAGAAGGGGTATTAACTGACAAAATGGTGTTACAAAGAGCAAAATAAATTTAATTGATCATAGAAAAAAAATATAAAGAGAAAGAACTATAGCCAGTTTTGAATTTCTCTGAGAGAAATTCAAACGTCTTAATGTTTTCATTTCAAGAACATTTCTCTGTGCCAAAATCTATTGTTTACTTAAAGTAAAACAAAAAATCCATCCATCCATATTTGCTAATTTCTTTAGGAAAGACAAGCATTTTTGTTTTCTTTATGTGACTTCTAAGACACTATATTTTTAAAGTACATTTTTATATATTCTTATTTACATTTCTTAGTGATTTTAACCATCATACTGTACATTCTGTAAGCTATTTCTGACTGAGCTAGCATCCGCCTTTCTCACCCATCATTGTTAAGCTGTGTCACATACATTATTGCTGTTAGATGCATTAGATAGTGCTAAGGTATAACAAACATTTCTTGTCTAAGCAGAAACTGGATGGAGGAAATGCTGTAGGATTGAAAATCCTTAAATTCTGTAACATACTGGGTCACAGAAATCATTGCAATAGGTTGCAATGTCTTTAAAATTACTCTCCTTTCTTATTAAAAACATTTTAGATAAGAAATAAAGAGAAAAAAGAAAAAGAAGCTAAACAAATTTCTCTTTAAAAATAGTAAGATTCTGGAGCAAGGTATCTGCACTATCTGTTCTTTAATTTACAATATTTGTATTTGAATATTCTGTTAATTACAATTGAGGACTGGGTCCTTGGATCTTTTGAAACTTAGTGAATATCAAAGGTGCAGCATTCATTAGATTTTAGAAATTAAATATTGAACAGTTTTATAAAAATGCAGACTGCTCATTTTAGCCAACATTAGCTAATAGCTATTGTCTTATGGCAGAGTACAATATTATTTTCCAGAATGCAATGAGTGTCTTTGCAATTCTGTTGTTTTGAACAAAATACATTAACATTTTGAATTAAAGACTGCAGCATGAGCTCAAAACAGCAGATAATTAAGGGGTGCAATTTTACTTCTCTTAAGTAAAAAAACAAAAACAAAACCCTTTATATTCTTATTCCAAGGAAATGCAAAATACAAATCCCTGGAGCAATTCATTAGGCTCAATTTTCAATGGTGTCCATTCAATCAATTATTATTGGAGTTTAAGAGCTTGCTGCTTTTCAGAACTGAATCAACATATCCTCTAATAAATTGCCAATAAGATACTTCTGTTTTCCAGAAACACTGATCTTTGCATTCTACAGCCATCTTTTAAGCAATTAAGAAGAAAAGAGTTTGGCCAACACAGCTGTGAAAATACAAACAAAAAGTCTGAAATTGTGTAAAGTAAAAATTGTCTCTGTCCCCCATCATTTCCCTTTCTTTAACCGTAACAATTACCATCTCTTTTGTGAGGTACAGGCCTGTTTTTCTGCTACTTTGAGATAAGGGTTTTGCATTAGAAATTATATACTAAGATTTACATTAAAATGCAGTTCACAGTCAGATCCATTTGGTATTTTCAGAGTCACTGAGTAACTCAGGCCTCAATCTGGCTCTCTCTCATATTGCACTTAATAACCAAACCACATCATCAGTAATAAATAATAGCCTTGATTGTTTAAAAACATAATAAAAACAGAATACATATCTTATAAATGAACCAATAGGTAAACTAAAAATTTTTATTTTATTTTACACATACTCTGGAGCAGGAGTGTCAAATTCTATCATCATGATGGCATCATGACTTTTTTCCCTTTCGCTGAACTGGGTGTGGGTGTGGCCAGCGCATGATGCATCTGACCCACGAGCTGTGCGCTTGACACACCTGTTCTGGAGGCTTTATTAAAGTCACTTAAAAAATAAACAGTTGAGTAAAAAGACCACAGAGATTGAATAAATGCTTACTGACATTAAAATAAGAAAATTACCACATTGAATTGCAAAATTAATTTGTGCTACAACTCCCTGAAAGCAAATGAAACAGCAAAAGATGCTATTACTAACTGTCATCATATTGTTGTTCCCCATGCCCCCGCAATCCATTAGGGAGTACCATGTGCCAGAGCAGCCAATGTTTCCCTCTTAGTCTAACCAATCATGTAGAAATGAGTATATATTACAAGAAGGAAAAAAAATAGGTTTTTTTTTCCTCATCCTTCATTCCATCCTCAGAATATAAATAAGTCCGCAGTTGATATTCCTTCAATAGATAGGAAACAGGTCAGTATTAACAGCAACTGATGACAATACATTAATTCAAAGATTGCAAGGTACGGTGCCAAAATACATAGCTTGCTTCTCTAATGGAGGGGAAAGACCAGAAGACTGATGCCGTTGCCGAGCATCTGTTGTCCAAGATGACATTCTGTCCAATGGTAGGGCCATATCTACTACCTAATTGACCCGTTCTGCTTCAATAGCCCCACAGAGACATCATATACTAGATACTTATAGTCTCTATAGTCTCTACATGAAGTTCAAGTTTTTAAAGTAAAAAAATCATTTGATCTAGGACTGCATTCTTTTTCAGAAAATCAATTGTATATTTTGGACTTGCCATATTGTGCTTACAGGTTACAATGGAACAAAATATCACCAAACAAAATACAGGATGTTTTAGGGAAAGTTGATGAGCTGGGTGAATGGAAACACTTGCTGTTCTGATCCAAGAGAGGATTAATATTAACCTTATCAAACAGTTTTTTGCTAAACATATTCAGTACATCATTTGTTTTATCGTGGCTTTCACATTTCCCATAGCAATAACTTGGATTTTCCATACAGCCTTGATCCCAGCAATGTAATTGCTATGATTTATATGTATGATTCAGTATATGTCTATTTTGGTCTCAGTAAATTCAGTGAAATCTGTTTCCAGGTAAGCATGTTTCATACTGCAATCATAGTACAAATAATTTGTCAATCTTTTGGCAAGAGAAATAAGGGCAGGAAAGCACAAAGGTCATAGAAGTGGATGAAGTTTAAAATGAAACTAGTCTGAAAAGAAGCAAAAATTTGTTGTCTAAAACAACCTCCATAGTAATTCTCAAGAATCTAACTTCTGTAAATAAATCTCTCTTCTGGTGTATGTTCACTTTAGAACTCTTTGCAACCTGAACTGCATTTTATGTGAAAACTTTCAGATTTGGGAAGTGGGAAAGAGATTGCTTTCTTTAATGAACAAAACATTTTATTCATACAAGTTGTTAAAATATATTTTTGCCTAGTGCCACCAGAAAGACAAGCCAAATTGTATCTAAAAGTATAATCTAAATTTCTTATTTTAATTGTAAAGTTAACCAGAATAGTACTATTCCAAAAATACATAGCCCATGTTTTGTTTTTGGGTTAAGAAAAATATTGCCTGACTTATTCTGGGTTTTTAGAAGATAATTAGAAGATATTTAGAAGATAGTTTAGAAGAAAAAATTAATTTTCATGAAGTACAATGATTGAAAATTAATTTTCATGAAGTACAATGATTGAAGAATGTTTTGGATCTTAAACATGTTAACTAAAATTATTATTAATGTTATGATATAGGATTTAAATAAACTATGTCTCCTGGACCACTTCTTACAATGCTGTTTAAGAATACAACAATCTGAGTTATTTCCAATATTGCTTGTTCCTGAAGTAACAGATTCAGACTTTAATCTTGCATTTAGTTTGCATGCAAGCAAGTCAGCCCAATTTGAACTGAATAAAATATTTCATAAAGGAGCCCTAAATATTATAGCATGTCAAAAAGTATTATAAACCCTTAATATTTGGAGAAGTTCTATGAACCAAATAGAACTAGCTTCAAATTAGACACAGACATTATATTGTCCTGTTATGACTTCTTAAATATTTTGTTATATATTATATGTTAAAGGTTATATGTTTATATCACAAATGTATCCTTAGCGTAAGTTTTTTTCTTTCTCACTTTGGACTAAGTAGTATTCTGCAGGGCCTGACCCTTCTGTGAAAGTTATAGTACCATCATAAAGCAACCTTTTCCTGTATGCCTGTGACATCACATGTACAACAAAGGAGGCAAACTGTTTTCATCAATTGATAACTGCTCTGCCACAGACAGTTCTGATTCTACATGAAATGTTAGATAGGGAAGATTTAAACCAACCATCGGTAGTGCAAGATCCTTCTGGGGCAGGTTTTTGTGCATATGGGATTGGCGGACTATTGGAATCAGACATGTCTTCATCCTCCTCATCTTCTGTTTCGTTAATAGTCTGGCTGGTGGAAAAATCCAAACTTCCATTCTGGGTATAACGATGCATCAATTCTTTGTCTAGCTCTTCAACTGTTGGTTTCACATCTGGAATGCATGATTTAAAAAAAAAAGTCTATCAATGCGACAGATGGAACAACAGCAAGAAGAAGACGAAGACACCATCTTTAATGAATCCCAAAATTTATCTAAGGAAGAAGGAAGGAAGAAAGCGAGGAAAATGAAGGACTTAAGATTTAAAAAAACATTTAAGAAAGAGAAAAATATGATGCAAAATAAATACAATGATAGCAAACAAGAGAAAAAGGGAATACAACAGAGAAGGGATGCCAGCAAGACAGAGGTTAGAAGAAGGGGGGGTAGGATGATCTGGTGGGGGAAGAAAGAAAGGGGAAAGGTGGAGAAAAGCCACAAAGTTTTAAAATTGGATGGGAAAAGAGGAATCTTTTTCAGGGATAAAGGGTAAAGCATAAATTTTCTTAAAAAAAGATTTTGCAAGGTACATAAGACGGTATTGTAATATTTGTATTAGAAATAGAAAATTAGAATGGCTTAAGAGTTAATAAGAAATTAAAATGTTGAAATGTTTAATAATGATTGATTTTTAAAATGTAATAAAATATTGAAGGGAAAGAATGAGAATGCTATAAGATTTATTATTTAGATTTATTATTTAACTACGTATTTAGGAGGATACTATGTATTTAAACATTTCCGATTTATTACTTTTTATTGTTATTAAAAGTAAAAATTAATAGATAGAATGTACCAAGCAGAATCAGATTGGACATTAGGTGTCATTTTAAATGTTAATCTAATATTTAGGGAGAGGATAGAAAGGCATCATACTCTGATTAGAGATTTCAGGAGAAATTCTTTTTTTTTTTCATTATAAGGAATGAGATAGAAGGATAATAAAGGATGGGCAAAAGATACAAATATAATGATTTAAATTAAGATGGATTGAATAAGATAGAATTATGAAGAGTGAAATGTGTGGAGAAGTATATATAGAAGATACAGAATGGTAAACAAAATAGGTAATGATCTCTAAGATGAGCATGAATATAATTAAAGCCCATATAAAGAGAGGTACCGGGGGCCAAGTTACTTTACTAAAATATTTTTTTATATGTTTGTTTGTGTCTGTTTATGTTTTTGAGAAGTATTGGTGAAACCTTTTAGAAATACAGAAAGAGAATGACGATAATCAAGTCAGAAAGAAATACAGGACAAGAGATGTTTTTATGCTCATTTAGAAATGGTTTAAAATAGAATTGTATTGTATAAGATAAGGTTTTATCTGACTTGTAAAATTTACAATGGAAAAAGGTTCAAATATGTAATGGTTGGTGATGATTTGTTTGTTTTTGAAATTAATAAAACTTGTTTAAAAAAAAAAGTCTATCACATATACTTTTAAAAAGTATACCTCTGAAAAACTTTAAAAATAATAAACATTTTACATAGCATAAGAACAATATGCCATACTTGCTTGGTTACCTTCTGGCAAAATAGGAGGCTGCTCAGGATCAAGATAGAGCTGGGAGAAGATGGGCCGAGGAACCACATTATTACACCTGAGGGAGGCCTCTATGGAGTTATGAAGAGCTTCTTCAAAACGGGCAGATTTCAGTTGCCCCGCATAAGAATTCCCCATGATCTGTTAAAAAAAATAAAAAAATAAAAAATAAAATAAAAATAATTAGGCTAAGTATTTCACTCTTTTATTATGGAAAGCAGAAGTGATGTTTGGAACAAGTATTTTGTAACAGTGCACATTGCAAGGATAAAATATTAGCAATGGTAAAGAAACCATTAAAAAAACCATCTTGAAGAATTTTGCCGGTCTGCTTTTCAGCCACCTTTTCTTTTAACTTTTACCTCTCTTGAGCATCAGTGTAAATTAAAAAGGACCGTGACAAACTTCAGGTGCAGCACAGGAAATGTTCAGATAAAAGTCAGTATATAGAGATCTTCAAGGATAAATAGTTAAAAACATTATCTGTTTTGCGAGTATTTGCTTTCTACTTTATTTATTTCATACAAATGTGATAGTAATTTTGTTTTGGCTGGACTGGCTACTTCCCCCAACTGAACCAACATCAAAATGTCAATGAAATGGAGGTCATACAGAGATCCACTTGAGAAAGCATAATAAACAAATGTCTTAATAAAAGAAAAATAGTACTGAAAAGGAAACCTGTGCCTGTGAAGAAAAGTTATAACCAATACGCCATGAAAAAGGTCATTCTGAAGAAAAGCTCAGAAAATGCTCAGGATTCAAATTAAAGCAACTTTAGCAGAATGCTTACCTACTTAATGGAATGCACACGAACACTTTCCATTAAAGTGTGCTAAGTTCAGTTAAGGACAGACTGTGCTATGCACTTCTAAATAGTTGAGTTGAAGATACGATCTACCACATGCCTCTTCCCATAATTAATGTGGCTTTAGAAAAAAAAACTAAGTCCAGATAAATCATTGGAACTTCAATAAACTTATGACTTTAAATATAATTAATTGCATTTGATGTTGCTATTGAATGACATATGAATTACAGCAACACACTGTAATTGTAAGCTTGAAGCAAATTTTCTGAGTATTCTTCTAACTTACTACCATAGCAATTCTAATTCAGTTAATAGGATGTAAGGTATTAAATTACAATATCGGCATACTTGTTGTGTTAACCCATGTCTTCAGTAACACAGTAGCTATATAATCTCATTATATAATTCAGTGTTTTTGAATTTGTAATAGCTTCATAAAACTATTAGCCTTTCTTAAAATTACCAAGATTGTAAGCCCTTTGAAAACCAACAAATTTCTTATATATCTGCTTTATATCTTCTTTTCCATTTCTTCCCCATCTTCCTAGATTCTATAAATCCTTTCAAATTATTTAAAGTCCCTACCTATGATTAACTGATATCATCCATCTTCTAAAAATTCACAATTTATGGTAATTCTGCTTCTTGGATGAGAAGCAAAACATCTTCAAAAAAAAAAAACAAGGAAGTCCAGGTGCCTCTTGAAAAAGCACCTTTAGGACAACCATGATCTGGATGACTTGAGAATCTCCATAGACATTAAAATATGTTAGCAACTTTTGATATCTATGGTTCACAAAGACACCTTAACAATACAACAAAAATGAAATATTTTTAATACTCAATAGAAAATTAGAAATTCCATTTAAAATTTTTACAATTGTATTCTTTCCTGAGTGCTACTATTTTCCAATTCAGTTTCCAATGAAAATTCGGGTCACATTTATCAACTACAATAAAATTCATTATACTTATACATATGTGCCTCTTCCATGTCCTTTGTCACAGATGAAAAGGAATGCCTTTTCTCACCCCTCTCACTGCCTGACTAATATGCCAATGTAATATATTTGCAATTTGTAGCTACAAAAAGAACCCACGGATCAATTGGAAACTTATTATTTAAAGAAAAAGTTGGTACCATATAATATATGCCTTCTTCATTTATCTGAACATAAGACAGCCAGACAGCATTAAAAATAATGAATAATTTGCCTTAGACAAAAATAGCCATTCCTATATTGGTTTGCATATTCCAATATTTTTGGGCAAGTGCCAAAGATTTATTCTTTCCTTGTATTTTAATCTGAAAACATGTCCCCTCTATATTTGTCTGCAAGTTCCAGCTTAAATAAAACAATTGGGAACTGAAGACTTGGGGGCTGCAGACTTCGCTTTCTAAATTGTTATCTTTAATGAACTGAGGCCCTTCCTTTCAGCCTCTACTTAAAAACAGCTCAGTTAAGCTAAAATGCTTTTGATTATTCACTCTCATTTCATCTAAGACCAAAAAAGCAAGAAGTTCTGCTCCATTTTTCCCTAGTAACAAATGACTTAAAATGCTTAATCTGAAATGAAGAGCACTCAAATATTATGAGGGTGAGTGAAATACTATTTAAAAATCTAACTCTGCAAAGCGACTTGTCTTGATCTCCTTGTCTTTTGCTGAATGTACCAGCAAAGCTTTAAACATTTGGTAAGGGTTGTCCTTTCACTTAAGACAAAAGCAGCCTTTCTTACCTAAATCAGTACTTTTTGCATCAGACTCATAAAAACCTTCCAACAACAGAGATTTCAAGAAAACACTTTAAAGGTTTTAGGATATCCCTTCTTTTACTAAGTAACAAAATACACCCCACCGTGTCTGACCCCCACTCAGCTGTCTTATGACCTCTGCAATTGTTGCAACTTCACTTCAGGGGCCACAGAATTTAACTCCTATATCAAAAAAGAGGACGGCCTCCTCCTCTGAGCACCTGGTGAAACAAAATGCCAGCATCACCCTCCCCCACTCTTGCTACTAGGCCCCAGATGTTCCCACAGCTCTTGGTGTCTATGTGGCAACCAGAAAGCAACAATTAGGACCTGGATGATGGCAATGACCCTCTTATTTTACTGGGTCTGAATGCTCTAAGGGGCCTCCTGGCCTTAAGGATACAGCAGGTCATAAAACAGACACAGATCTTCAGCCTCTGAGAAATACGAGAGGATTTTTTTAAGAACAAGGAACAATAGGAGTCCAATGTTACAAATAAAGTAAGTCAAGCCAGTCCAACTCATCCACAGCAAGAACATATAAGTTATTTGACCTCTCTTGTTCAAATAATATGCATTCTGTTTTCCCCTTTGATTTCTATAGATTATATTTTACAGGAAAATTCAACAATCTCTCATGCGCATCAAGTGTTTGATTTAAATAAAGTTATTTCAATTTACAAAATCAATTTAGTTGGAGGAAACCTCAAAAGACATCATTTCTGGCCTCATCTCATTTATTATGGTTTCTCTGTTTCATTTCAAAACCATCCCATAAAAGGTATCAAAAGTCATGGATATCTCTCTCTCCAAGGATCAATATTGTATCCTTTCTTATTTAAAGTACATTTTGACAGACTAAAACACTATTCATCAGATTCACTGTTAAATTGGTTTTTATTCTTAATTTCTAAATGTGTGACTTATTGCTGTAATATATGCTAAATATGGATAAATAAAATGAAGTTTAAAGTACACAAGACTGATGAAGTGTTCCTGACTGGAAAACTCAAACCTACCACTGATGCTTGCTTTCCTGCTGAAAGATTTGGGAATGCTCATTAATCCAATTCAAGTTTTGGATTTTAGTTGGTGATAGGAACTCAGAATGCTTTGTTTGTTTGGGCAGTGTACTAATCATGCCACCTCTCATTGCGGAACTTCTTACTGGTGGACATGTTTTATTAATGGTGTAATGCCATTACATTAAAACATTTTAAATACAGGTAGTCCTCAACTTACAACAATTCATTTAGTATCTTTTCAAAGTTACCACGACGCTGAAAAAAGTGACTTGTGACCATTTTCGCACTTACAACTGTTGCACCATCCCCATGGTCACATGATCAAAATTCAGGTGCTTGGTACCTGATTCATATTCATGACATTTGCAATGTCCTGGGATCATGTGATCTTTTATGACCTTCTGACAAGCAAAGTCAATGGGGAAGCCAGATTCCCCTAACAAATGCATTACTAATTTAACAACGGCAGTGATTCACTTGTGTCAAGAAAGGTTGTAAAATGGGGCAAAATGCACTTAACAAATGTTTCACTTAGCAACAGAACCTTTGGGTTCAATTGTGGTCATAAGTTGAGTATAACTTGTAGAACTCTTTTAATAGTTTAATAGTACTTATTTTTTCATAAATTTCAATAATTGTAATGTTATATGATTTCTTAGAAACACACATTAACATAATTTTCAAGATTTGTGTATTTTATGACAATGGTACTGAATATATATTCTGGCAACCACAGGCAATCAAGAGTATTACAACGGTTTTGTTTGTGAAAACAGTGGCATTAGTAAACACATAGATCTTTCCATTTTTTTATTAGCAAACATTTCATGATATTGTCAATATGCTTTGCCAAAATCTTGCAATATTTGATGATTCTACATTTTAGCAACTGAAAAATATTTTAAAATGTGGATTTATTTTTATTTAATTTTGTAACCCTGTAGATGCATTCTATGGTGAACACAGACCAAGCCTTCAGTGGTGACCCTCTAAGATTTTGATGATCATGTGGTAGTGCACATAAAAGAAAGGGTGTGGGATAGTGCACTCAATTAAAAGATTGAAATTAACCATTTAATTATAATAGTTTCATACAAACATCATAATTATATCAAATTGACACAAACTATTGTACTCTTGCTGCCATTGAAAATGTTACTAATGAGAAATGCATTGCAAATATGAAAACAATACTACCTTCTTTTATGTTATTCAACCTTCGTTAAATACATTCATGATGGATGATTGGTCAAAGTTATTCTGCTGCTGCTTGATTCAGGCTGCTGAAAATTTTAGATACCTGTGAAATAATAAAACAGTTTAAAATTGTTGATGCCAGATTTAAATCTTATATAGCAGCAAATATTTCAAGACTATGCAAAAAAAAAAAAGCAGAGCTTCTTAACAGTATTTATTTATTTGGTTTTTATCTTGCCTTTATTATTCAAGGTGGTAAAGGTGCATAATACTCCTTCCTCCTCCTATTTCCCCTACAACAGCAAACCTGAGAGACAGATTGGCAGAGAGAGATAGGATCCAAAAGGCTTTCATGCCCAAAATGGGACTAAAACAGTCTCTTGTTTCCTAGGCCAACACTCTAACCACTACACAAGGTGGCTGTACTATTTTGTAATTAACTATTTATTATTGCTTTGACCTTTGAAGTGCTCCCCATTGAACCCAATAGGACTCTAACTACATCTAAGGTTACTATACATATACTGTCAAAATATCTGATCATAAAACCTGACCAAACTGTACTGCCCTTAACTTTCTCAAAAAAACTACAGTACTACAACAGAGAAAAAAAATCTGCAATTTTTATCTCACCATGTTGGAAGCAGTGAGAATGTTACACACACACTGAGAGACTGACATACACACATCATCCATCCATCATCTACAGTATATATCAGATCTTGAAAACAAAAGAGGTACTGTATGGAAATTTAAGCCAATTCAGGTACTATTCATGTATACTTGCTTTGTCAACTTGTTCATTACAGAATATATCTAGCCAGTTTGGGTTAGTCAGGGGGACTACCATTTGATTACTTATTTTTTGAATGTGTCCTAAAAACCCTCTCAAATAAAAATCTAGAAACAAAGCATGTTACATGTTACTAGCCTTTACATAGGCTAGTTATATACTGAGGAAAGAATTAAACAATAATCGGCTCTAATGAAGATGATGGTAATACATAGACTACAAATTAAGCATATATTCTCTAAAATATTTTTTAAAACATGCTATTAATATAGTAAGATCTTTGATTCTAAATAAAAGATAAATCTAATATTCTATGGTACCAACTTACCTTAGTAACATGTGGAGGGGAAAAGTTGAAATGTCTTAATATTTTAAATTTGCAATATTCAAGGGATTAATTAAGCAACATTATCCATTAACATACACTGGGTAATATAAAATCAAAAGGATAGTATACACACACACACATGTATACATACACACATATGTGATATATACATGTATGTATGTATGTATGTATGTATGTATGTATGTATGTATGTATGTATTTGATGTTCGTCTGAATCCCTGGCATATGGGTAGTCAGAGGAGAATGGGAATATAAATTACATTGTAATCTGAGGTTACTTTAACAAAAACCTGTGTAAGTGGTCTAACCACAGGAGGAAACCATTTTTGTCAGTCTCAGCAATAAAGAACTTTATCGAACACAACAGTGGTTGCAGGAGTGGAGGAGAGCCAAGTTTTAATAAGGCTCTATATAATTGGTTGTCATGTGGTTTACTAATGCCACTGTTTTTATCTGCAAATGCTAAATAAATAAATATAATTCTACCGTTCTTTCACATAACCTATTCTGGTTGGGAACTGAAAATTCAAGGTGTCCAGAACTATTTCCTTCTATATAGGAAGCTTTTGTTTTTTGAAGGAGCTGCTGGCACTGAAACATGACCTTGAATGGCAGTTCTGCTAATCCAAATTTTTCTGGTGTGTGTGTCTGTGTATATATGTGTGTGTGTGTGTGTGATGCCCTCATAAACAAGCAGCATGACTTAGGTTCAGGCAATGCATTTTCAACGGTGCAATATTACACTGAACAAAGTTTCTGATTGCTTTCCACAACACAAATTAATTAGCCTCTCAATGAACAGAAGACATGTCTAACACTATATTGCAGGAGATCCTTAGGAAATCAACACTTTCTGATTTGCTGGTTGCTTCAACTCTAATCCACACCATTGTATTAAGTTTTACGAGAATCAACAGTGATGATGATCAAAGTCAAGCTATATTGTTTCAGAACAAACTGTGGGGACACCTTGCAAAGCCTTTAAAAAAATAATAATTAAAGTTCATAATCCAATTTCAACAGTCATAAAGACTAAAACTGCTATTTTTGAGGCCACGTGCTGAACATTTCACCTGCTAGTAATGACATCTTTGTGTTGTCTTCTAATTGCATTCAAAGCGAAGACCTTTGGCCCTGAGCCACAGACCTCCATTCAGGCTGCACACATTCTCTTAAGCACCCTGAGCCTTTGTTGTCATGCTCAGTCTTTCATCTATTATTTACATTCATTGAGGAGGGAGCTACTCTACCATTCACAAAGCTTTAAAGCTTCTAATCATCTTAATTTCTTTGCCTTTTCCACTCCTGATTCCCACCTCATGATTGAACATAGCAAGCAAGCAAACTGATGAAATCATTTTCAAGCCACTGGTTCTAATAGGTAGGCATAATCAGAGAAGCCTCTTGCAAGTAAAAGATACATTCTGCCATTTTGTCCTTAGCAGCAAATGTCAATATTTTTAAAATAAATAGCTTTGTGCTTCCATCCAGATACGTGTGACAAATGCAATCAAATGAACTGTAAAACCACATAGCTACTTTCTGAACTGGAGTAATGTCAAAATTTGAATTCTTTGATTTCTTAATGAAGAAATAAGATCTAATAAGAATAATCCAACAACATTTCAAATAAAATAAAGCAGCATGTAACAAAACAATATTTTTCAGAAGAAATATAACCATACAAAATGCTGCATTTTGGAACCACAAAATGAAATATTTGTAAATATAATTTACTCACATCACAGCCTTGAAAAACATGCTTTATCTGTATCACCAAGTATTTTTCTCTACACTGACAGAAAACATCACAAAATATAGTTCTTTTTCTTCATATACTGTTCAAATGATAACAAAATGCAACTTTTACAAATGGAGGGGTTGCCATGACTTCAAAAGTCAGCTCTGATTATGACTGCTAGAGTTCAACTATGACAATCTGTGACCCGTCATGGTGTTTTTCTTCTAACAATGTTGTTTCTCTCTTCTGAAAACCTCCAGCCCCCTTGTCTTTTCTTATTTTCACCATTTGGTTCAACTAGCAGTTCACTTGAGACTCATCCATCTTAGGATGCTTCAAGTGACAGATGCTCTTAGAAATAACTATACCACTCAGTGAACAAAAGATAACATCACCTCTAGGAAGTCAAGGGAGAAATACAACAACAGCCTTGATACCATGTCCCTACCTCAGTAAATAAATAGATTGCAAACCTCTTAAAAAACTGAAAAAATGAAGCAAAAACTTGAAAATAAAACAATATTTTATTCTCATCAAAGCAGGATAAGAATTACAAACAATGGACCTGGCAAAAATGGTGGTTAAACCCAGACCATTTTATTTACAAATTGTTCTTAAAAAGTGAACAGTTGATTCTAAATTTAAAGTTTAAACAACAGTTCCTAAAACAGAGGCAAAATGATTTCTTCATTCCTTTCTTTAAGGAAAATCTCCACAGATATTTCAACCAAGAAAGTGGAAACTCCAACAGGACAGCAGTAATTCATATAATAATTCAGCTAATTTGGAAGAAACTTTAAAGCATAAAATTTGTTATATATTAAAAGGAATCACAAAGGTGCTTTTTTCCAAAAGGCAACTGGACTTTGTTGTTGTTTTTTCTTTGAAAACCTTTTACTTCTTATTCAAAAAGCTTCTTCAGTTCTTGGATGAAAAACAAAATGTTTTCAAAGGAAAAAATAAACCAAAAAAAGCCCAGTTGTCTTTTGGTAAAAAGACCTTTGGGGCAACCATGATCTAGATAATTGAGAACCTCCAGAGACATTAAAAGGAACCATTCCACATCCAATGAGAGAATTCACATCTTCTCTGATCTAACAACATTTACTTGTAAAGCAAGCACCAACAGTTATTACACAATGCGTGATTTCAATAGCTAAAAACATTACAAGAGTAAGAAAAGGATGCTGTGTTGAGTTATAAATCACTTTTGTAACAAAAGGTTTTATTAACATCTTCCAACAACAAACTAAAAAGATGCTATATATGAAAACATAGCCCTCCACTGAATCTGAATGTGTACTCTTTCTTCTATACAAAAGAACTTACATTTGTCCACATTTATTTTTATCCAGAAATTTAAAATAATGTTTTCTATAAAAAAAAGATCATTTACTTCTTCCAATCTCCTCCTTGTGACCTCTTTAGAACAGAAGAAGGTAGGAAGTGAGTACAAGAATCCAAAATCACTCTAGCTCATGCTTATAATAATAAACTTTTACTGTTGTAGCTCAATGCAATAACTCCATATGGAACAAGAAAGACTATAGCATAATTGAAATATTTCTATGCTGATGATAGATGTAGAATTCAAGTCCAGATAATAATTTGGAATAATTAGTTTAGAAATACATAAACTGAAAATAAAAATGTAGAAGGCAAGGATTTTTTATGAAGCTTTTCAATCCAAAACTTTCTCTCTTACATATACACACAAAGCACAAACACATACATAGTAATAACTAAAAGTTGCAATTATTACAGAAAACATGTAATGCTAATAATAGTGTAATGCTATAGATAGATAGACTGAATTCCTAAAACATGGAAGATGTAATAACCATATTTCATATGTTATACCACAGTTTTTGCTGCTGAAGGAGATTTATTTTACAAAGTTTTGCCTAGGTAGAAAAACTGCTTTAAAATCTCCTTATGAAAAAAGCAAGGATTTCTTTGTTTTAATTGATCATAAAGCAACATTAGGTACACTTGTGCCCAAAAATCAGAGCTTCTTAGTGGAAAATAGTACTTAAGCTAATAAGATGATAATTTTTCATGTTTCCAGGTTCTAAAATATCAGGTAATTATTTTTTTACTCCACAGTGATAACAAGTCATGAGAACCCTAACTAACATTTCTTTTTCTAGACACCCAAGAATAGGATGATGGTAATTTAATATTTTCAGCTGTTTTAGGTCTTTCTTTCTTTTGTTTTAG